TTTACCATACCGACCATAAAATTTTACCTACACTGTATATATATATATATATATATATATATATATATATATTAGCTGACACGGCCACGCTTTGCTGTGGCTTGGTTATTATACGACTTCATTAGCAATACTGTCGACTGATTTAAAAGATCAGATCACCTGGTAACAACTGTTAAATTTAGAAGTTAATGTCGTTAACATTAACATTTTCGCCGTCAATATTGCGTACTCAATGAGCCAATTATGATTTTTAAGTAATTATTCAGTATAGCCGGCAAAACACTTACAATTAATTCATGTTTGTTCTTAACAAAAGTACAGAAATTATCTAGAATTTTGATGCATTGTGTACTTGGATGCAGTTTTATTTTACCGTTTCCAATATTTAGAAAATGTTTGGAAAATATTTGCTCCGATAGATCATGTTCCACTTGTACTCTTATCTTAATGGTCAATCGAACTGTTTCGACATTACGCTATAAAAACGAGTATGTTAAACATGCATTAATCGTTTGTCGTTGCCGTTTAATCGATATAATATATATATATATATATATATATATATATATATATATATATATATATATATATATATATATATATATATATATATATATATGCGGTGGATCTATATATATATATATATATATATATATATATATATACAGATTGAACGAAATAAATTCGGAACATAGGAATATAATGTATTTCGGCTCAATTCTGCTGTAGGTGGTTGGCCAACAAAATATTGTCAAATGTTTATATTATAAAAATCCAATACTTCAGTGGGCTGCTGGATTCTGAACTCATAAAAATTGAAAGCTACACATAAATCTACGATTTATGCTGTCAAACCAGTTATAGTCCAGGAAATGAAGCATTTCACCTCGCAATTATTTCGTGCTCCTGGATTGACTTGAAATTTAACAGAGGGTAGGTAATAGCCTAAGGATCAAAATCTATATCGAACCAAAGTGCGCCAAAGCCTAGGGGGTGGTTGCCACCCCATCTCCGGGGTGAAATTTTTTTTTACGTTTTAACTACAGGTTTCGATTAAAAAAGTGATTCTAAACAAAAAATGTGCTATACATTTTTTTTATAAAATGATATTTTTCAAGTAATTCGCGATTGAAAGTAATAATTTTTGGACGAAAAAATCCACGTTTTTAATCGATTTTTCGCGAATAATTCGAAAATGGTGTATTTTATCAAAAAAATTGTAGAGAACAAATTTGTAGCTTCTAAAAAGAAAAATACAATTCATTTTTTAAAATGTTTTTGGGATATAACAGGAACCGAAATACGGCCTATTAATGTTCAGCGGTTTTCTTCAAATGCCAAATTTGAAAGATTCAAAATCAAATATCGGGAAAATGATGCATTTTTGGAAGAAAACTCACAAAACCTTTTTTAAAGAGCATAAATAGACATATCATAAAAAAGACTCTAGCTGAAAAATTGAGTGAGTTATGATGAAAATAAGGTCAATACCTCATTTTTTACGAAAAAATCGATGAAAACAACCCCCTAACCACCCCCATAATTAAAATCGATCTTCACCCTTCTGAAATTCCCTTTGTACATGTATTGTTAATATGTCCAAGAAGTTTGACCCATTTAAAATGCTTTGTGTTATAAAAAGTACAGCTTAAAGCGAAAAACGATTTACAATTTCATATTTTTTACCCTTCTTTTTTAAATATGCCCGAAAATACTGAATATATAAAAAAAATACAAATTACCAAATTGTAGCTTTTTTAATGACTAAAATTATCCTTCATTTAGATTTGTTGTACAATGAATATTTGGCAAGATATAGCCGTTTAAAGCATCGATTTACGATCAAGCACCATCTTTTTCGATCCCTTTAAACTCACCCCATTTAAAAACCAAGGGTTCCAAAAAGATTTAATTCACAGATTCTTGTAGCTCTTAAAAACCTCTACAAATCGTTTTTGAAGAAACACTCTATCGTTAAAAATTAAAGGAAATACGTTAAAAAAAACCAGTGAATTTTTTTCCGGAAAATTTTATTAGTATAGTACAGTACATTTCGGAGCATAGTAATCTACAAAACCGGTATATTAGCTAGTGGGGCGTTATACATTCGAAATTTTAAGCGTTCTTATTTTGAAATCCCATACAACAGAATAAAACATCTGCTCATATGTCTATGGCTTGGCAATGAAAATATTAGAGCAACAGATTGGGGATGGTATTCCAAAGATGGTTTGTTATTACCCGTACGCATGAACAAACAACCTGCACTCGATGAACTTTTGAAAATTATTTTTTGGCAATGCAAAAAAGGATGTGGGTGCAGAAAAGTTGGTTTATACTGTAACTCTACTTGTTCTGGGTGCTCAGGTGAAGGGTGCAATAATAGTCCACCAATAATTGAAGATGAGGATGACATAGATCACGATGAAGATGTAATTGATGACGAATAAAATTAATATTACAATTGTTTTACCTATAAATGTAAATATTTTCAACTATTTATGTAAATGTATAAGAATAGATGGTGCCTTTTTATGTTGATAAATTTTTTTGTATTTAATTCTACTTTTTTCAATTTATATCTTATAAATTAGTTTATAAAAACTGCAATGTTGTAAAGGGTGATTTTCAAAAGTTGAAAAGTTGCAAAATTTTGGCAAAAAATTGTTTTCACCTATAGCACTCATAACAATTGATTTTTAAGGGTTGAAAATGTATGAATTTGTATTTTAAAGTATAAAAAAATCACTATTTAACTAATCCAAACCAAATTTCACTCATCTTAAGATTTATAATATTATTTTACAATTTTTGAAAATTAGAAGTAGTTTTCACCCCTAAGAACAATCAGGGTTCATCGGCATGACAAACTATAAAGCAGAGGGTGAGTTGAGCTTAATTCCAAATTTTTATGCAAATCGTTCCAAGGTGAAATCATTTTCTCGCATTACTAATTTTTTTATATTAATCTCTAATAAGGGTCGCTTTTTAAGGGTTGAAATATGATGGAACTTTATTCAAAAGCACGAAACTATCATTATTTAATTAATTCAAACCAAATTTTACCCATATTCAGGTTTAATATGTTATTTTATAATTTTTGACAATTACGGGTAGTTTTCACCCCTTAGAGCAATCAGGGTTTGTCGACATGACATAAACTATAAAGCAGCGGGTGAATTGAGCTTAAATCCAAATTTTTATCCAAATCGATCCAAGGCGAAATCATTTTTTTATAATTGGTAATTTTTTTACATTAATCTCTAACAAGGGTTGCTTTTTAAGGGTTGAAATATGATGGAACTCTATTCAAAAGTATAAAATAATCATTATTTAACTAATTCAAACCAAATCTTACCCATATTCAGGTTTAATATGTTATTTTATAATTTTTGACAATTAGGGGTAGTTTTCACCCCTAAAACCCTTCAGCGCACTTTGGTTCGATATAGATTTTGATCCTTGGGCTATCACCTACCTTTTGTTAAAATTTCAAATGGATACATGCAGGACGAAAAAATTGCGAGGTTTTAACTATTTTCGAGCTTTATTTCCTGAACTATAATCGTTTCCTTAGACAAACCCGTCTTATGCAAACAACATTGTTGTGAGACAGATAGTTGAACGATATTTTATACAATGTCTATACCTAGGTATGGATTTATTTTTGTCCGAGTTTTATATTGGTCCACTATTTCAAATGCAGTTCAAACACACATGTATTAAATTGTATGTTCCGTTTTAATTTGGTTCAATCTGTATATATATATATATATATATATATATATATATATATATATATATATATATATATATATATATAATTAATCGGTTAATAATAAAAATCGATTCAGTCGTTCTCGATTTATTGTAAAAAAATTATAAGAACATAAAAATACGTTTGTAAACGTCATTTTATGATATTTTATATGTAGTTAGAAAATATCATAAAATCACGTTTGACAAACGGATCAAAAGAACTAAACTTTTAGAGGTAAATTCGTATAAAACAATTTGAATTTGGAATTAAGAAAAATAAGGGTCATTCAACGAGGTAAAAAAATATCCTATCTCCTAAGTTAGACCAATAAATACACTTGCACAAAATTTTATTGCAATCGGTTTAGTGGTTTCTGAATATTAGCTTGGACAAACATCGTGACTCGAGATTTTTATATATAAAGATGTATGTATATTTGATTGTGAATTAAAAGTTTATCAAAGTTACCCATAGATGTAAAAAAAATGTAACTTTTCGTGCAAAAATTTAATCTAACATTAAACAAAGCGGACCGAATTTTTTTCCAATTATTTAAACTGAAAAAATCAAGTCCGGTTTTAAAAAAATTGTTCGCTTTCTTCAGAGAAAAAATTTCACTTTGCTAAACTTTTAATTCGTAGTAAAATTTGATTTTTTTTAATTAAAAGTTAAGTAATTATGTGGGAAAATTGTGCCATTTTAATTGCCTATGTGAATAATTTATAAAATTCTTATTAGAGTTTTCACAAACCTTATACAGGGTGAAAGTTTTTCTATGAACAAAACGATTTTTTTCTAGTTCGAATAAATGAGTTGATTAGGTGGTAGTAGTGTAACGTTAAACCAAAATCTGAGACATATCGAACTTACCATTCATAAGTTAGGACGAATAGAAATTTCAGTCGAAATTCACAACTCGTCCTGTATATTATTAAACAATGGAAGCAGACACTTTTTAATGGTCATTTGTTATTCCCCATGGGGCATCTATAATGCCTGTCTTTGGCAAAACTTTTTATTTAAAAAAAAATTTCCTACGATTGTATTAAAGATTTAAATAAAAAAAAATACAAAGAGTATAGTGTTTTACTGTAATTTTTACGCATTTATATTTCACGTATTTATTTACAATTTTTTATGAGCTGGTTCTGGATATTATTGTTACCAGAGTAAGTCTGAAAAATTTCCAGAAAAATCTGTATTCTAATGATATTTTCGATAATTTTTAATAAATATTTACCTGGAATCAATTCGCAGGTTTCTTCTTGTAAGTTATCATCAAGAAACTCTTCACACTGATTTTCTTCATCATTATTAGTTGTCAAATAGGAACCTTCATTCTTGATATAGTCATGATCGTGACCAAGACCGATGATTTTTGTACATAGAATCTTTGAATCACAGCTGTAGGTTTCTAAAAAGATAATATGTAAACAAATATAAATACTGAAAACAAATTAAATTATTTAAAATAATCAATAAATAAAACACCAGGTAGATAAAATACCAGGATCTTGGTATTTGTAATTTTCATGGACGTATAAATAAAGACGACGTTTTCTTTATTTATACGTCCATGGTAATTTTAATAATGAATAATGAGGTTGAAGGATACGTTTCGTCTACAACTGCCACAGACTAATTAAATGTGGAAATTTTGATTGAGTTATTTAAACAAATTGCTATCCTAACAACATTCGAACAAATTCGAAAAGCCTTAATGTATCGAGCTACCCGAATATGTAAACCTGAATCTTTGGGAGAATAATTGATAAACAGCGTTACAGGAAAAGGGTTCTGTTCCAAGAGACCAGTATTAAACAATAATGAGAACTAAAACTTAAAGGTTTCTTACAGTACACTAAAAATGTTACTGATCGAATCGGCTAAATCTTGTAAAAATTAAGTTATTTAAACAACTTGAATCACTATCCTAAACAAATTGGAAAAGGAGTTATAAAAGCCTTAATGGATCATGAATATGTGATACATGAATATGTGAACCTGAATATTTGGGAGAATAATTGATAAAAAAACGTTGAGCGAAAAGGATTATGTTCCAAGAGACACCAATCGACCTGTAGGTCCAAAAACCGCACGTCAACCGCAATATCGAACAATAACGAGAACCAAAAGGTAAAGCTTTCTAATACTTCTAATCGAATCGACAAAGTCTTGCAAACAATGACGTAAACCCCGTCTTCAAATCAACAAGAAAGTCTAAGATCCACTAGAGATCCAAGAAAACCGCTGTCCACTCCTATGTATTTCCTATAGTTGTGGTTCAGTGTATATTATAAAAACAAACGATGTAAATACTTGCCTGACTAAAAATCAACTGTTAAAGAACATACTATCACACAAGATAATTTGTCTAGTAATGAAGATGGGTAGTAAGCTAAATACTACGAAATACAGAAACATTGTTGGTTCGATCGATCCAAGCGACAGGTGATGGCAAATACGTCCGCTCCCTCATCAGCTTTAAAGATGTATTGTACAGTTGTAGACAAAACGCCAGGAAGAAAAATAAATTCTAGAGCACAACCTATAAAACCCAAGGAAAATGAATTTTGTCCCTGGACCTGGGACGTAAGTTCTATGAGGAAACAAACACCAGCGGATCAACTCACAACATGACATAGGGACTGCAGGTGTATCATGAACTGTAGATTTATTGATTAAAATTGACATACTCACATAATACACATACACACATGCATATGTAAAGTATGCTCAATCGGCAAACCACCATATTATGATGAGATTTGTGCTGCCCACACAGTGCTCTCCAATCCCAATGTGTAACATCATGCTCCAGGAAAAAAGTGTTGCCTAAAGATTGTCCCAGAGAGCTGGTTAACTCTGTCACTCTTTGTCTGACAGCAAATCGCTACAACTCGTAGGAATAAAATGGACACGTGCCAAAAAGAGTTAGACCAGAAATGAGTGACTCTTCTGAACTCATAAATAAAACTTTAAAAAGAACGAGCAGAGAGGCAACTACTTTCGCGAGCTCCGTCTCTGTCACAAATAGCCCTTCAAAGACCCCAATCGGGGTCCTATACCGTAGTCCATCGGGTGAACGCGGGGAGCTTTTGTGTAGCAGATCTGATGAAGTTCAGAGGACTTGTATAACAAATGGATGATGTACAATAAATTAATCGGCTACAGTACGACCGTTTTGCTTGATATGCTGATGTTATACCTTATGCGCACCTGTCCTATATACCAATAGGACGTTCCCTATTGAACATTAGGATATGCCGTGTCGGCGATGAGAACTTCCCCACCCGTCTATCCGGGATGGAGTATGGAGAACACTAGTCTCAGACCGCCACGGCTCCGGCGGCGTGCTCGAAAAATCGCATGTGTTTTAAAAACCTCAATATCTACTTACACTTTAAAAATCCACTAGGAAACTAAGTTCCTGTAGCTGGCTGTATACCATATATCACAAAAAATTTATTTCAAATCCTTTATATAAAAGGTATATAATAAAATACCCAAATGAGTTGTTATCAACAGGTCCTCAAAGACACTTCGTCTCAGGACCATTTTACCTATGTAGGGCATACGTCGCCATGTTACCAATTCCAACGGCAACTTAAACATCCTAATCTGTAACCATATATAATGTAAAACAACTATAAATTTATAACATTTAAAGGGTTTTGACCCATATATTTTGGTGGCTCATAGCATGTATATCTTGTTTACACTGATGATGGATTTAACAATCCAAAAACGTTTTGTAATGTAATTGTGATAGCCTGTTAACTGTTTGGGCATTTTATTATATACCTTTTATAAAGGATTTGAAATAAATTTTTTACTTACACTTTAATATACTATTTTAAAATCTGTCCATATTTGGATAAAAACTAATAACATTTAAATCATAAATATTTAAATCATCAAAAGAAATCATAAATATTTAATTTTAATTAAAAAAATAATTATTGTCATTAACATTTAAATGAGCACTCCGCTGTTCTGGTAAACATACCTTCAACCTTGAGCAGAGATCTTTTGGACACTCGATTATATAGCGAGAATAGGGGACCGCTTAGTCTATATATTATATGTCACTGGTCCCGTAGGTATTTTTATACCACTGGAAACTGAATTAAACATTTGAAAGAAACTTGTTTCTCTAAAAATGATATCAAATGATATATTTTATTAAGAAATAAGCATGGAACTGCGTTTACTGCTCCACATAGTGTGTAGTCACACAATCTGTTATTTCATTGTGTTTCAGTCATTTTTATTTTATCCTACCTCTGCGAGATCCACGCACCGATCAATGTATTCCATCCGTATCCAGTGTTAAGAAAGCTATGCTTCCAATAAGGAAATAGGATGATAATTAGCTAGAATATTATGATCACGTCCTTTTAAATAGGAATAACTGTGGTAAATTTTAAACAATTACTGAAGTTACCTGTACAAAACAAAGTAACTTCTTTTACATTAATTTATTCTGAAGCTATTTTCTTGTTTCATCTTAAAGCAATTACTATTTTTATTGGGAATAAGCCACAATTTAAGTTTAAAGTAAGTTTATTGACTTTTCAATTTCCACTTTGGAAATTGTTCTCAAAATACAAAACATTTTATCAATCTATTCTAAACTCATTAAACTATATGATAGTAGAAAAAAAGTGAATTTGGTTTAATAAATGTTTTGTAATACCTTGTTAGCAATCTTACTGCTAGACTTCATTAATTCCCCATCTTTGTCACATCAAGTAATCCTTTTATCACAGATCTTTACACAATTTATGTTTTCTCTAACAGCACAAGACCAATGAAATAAATTAGTCTTTAAGTAAGTCAATTTGGTTTAATATATTGTTTAAATTATATTGTTGCCTATCTATATGTTTGATAACTGTTGAAGAGTTTTGAAATTCACTACAAAGTTCCTCTAGAAGTAAAGAAGAACCCTATTGAATTTGGAATGCATAGGTTTTCTTTTTCTCATATTCTGATGCTTTTTGTTAAAGGCAAAGTCATAGTCTTGAAATTAGATACATAAATTCCTCTTAGTGTTAACAAGAACTCTAATGTATTTGGGGGAATAGGTTGTCTTCTTCTAATAGTATTATGATTTTTCTTTTTCTTGATGGAAAAGTCTTACAGTCTTGGTAGAGGACTCCTTTTAATGCAAGGAGGAATCCTATTGAATTTGAGGTCAATAGATCACCTTTGCATATTCTTATGTCTTTTTGGTATTTGACTAGGGTTCTGGATCTCATTTATCCACTTCTTCCATTTTGTTCTATAAATAGGTCATAAGGTTGCTTATATAAATAGAGTAAAAATATTAAATGAAATAAGTATTTGAAACTTATTTTCAGATTAAATACAATTTAATAATTTTCTCAATGTGTTATATATATACAGTGTAGGAAAAATTTTATGGTCGGTATGGACCTTACGTGAGATGGAGTGAGAAACAGCTGTTTAAAAAGAGAGAGGTATATTAGGTACGCCCTTTATATCGCCGAATGGAAATATTAAAAAAGGGGAAATTCAACGTTGCCAAACTTATTGGTTTTATTTGACCTGTTGTCTTTTTTTGCATTTGAACAATGTTCTATCAAGAAGACAAAATGCTCAAGATAATCAAATTTAAGCGAAATTGATTTAAATGGTAGGTTACTGTTTTTTTTATTGGGAATATGCCACAAGTTTTCTTTACAATAATTGTAATATAACATTTTGATTTCCATTTCGGAAATCGTTTTATATAAATAAAATTTATTAATGTTTCGTATTTTAAGTACGATTTCCGAACTAAAAATCTAAACATCAAAATAATTTCCCAATATGAAATAATAAACAATTAAACATGCATACAATAACGCCAAATTAAAAAATATTCATACACTAATTTATTTGGCAACGTCTAGTCTAGTCTAGTCTGGTCAAAAGATCGAGTAACGAGAAGTAGAGGTGGGTCGTGCTAGTTTATCATTAGGAGCGTAGGAGCAAAATTTCTGTTAAAATGTTATTTCTTTAAACGGCCGTAAAATTTGGGAAAGTTGAGAACAAATAATCCAGTGTTCTTTATTTAGATTAGGTTTAAGTCTAAGTCTGTATTATTTAATACCAATGTGGAACGGGTTGCCTCTTCTAACTCGGTCATTCTTTTTAACATGTAATAGGTGAAGTTCTACCTAGTTTCCACGTCTTGGATTGGCCGTTTGGGAACTGTGTTCTGTTGTAATTAATACTTTAAAAGCCTTTCTGAAGATAAGGTACTTTTTTGAAATGTGTTTTTTTGCAGAATTGCCGAAAAAAGGACTTTTTATTTTATCTATTTGTACACGACAGCATTTAAGTGCGTCCCCCACCAATAAATTTAATCATCATCATAAATCACAGTCATCATAAAACAAAACATATTTAATAGCTTTGACCATATTTTAGGAATTATCAGTTACTGCAAAATTTACTTTTCGTTTTAGACCCGACTGATTAATAATTTCAGTAATCGCTGTTTTCTGGATTATGGTTTCCAGAAAAATGGCAGCAGCCTAATAAAAAAGTTTTGAATACTAAATTTTCGGTTAAATATTGTCCTGTTAATGCGAAGTAACTCTCAGTTACTCCAGATGTCCAGAGGTCAGTAGTAATACAGATATTTTCTACTTCTTTAACAACTTGCGATCTAATAATTTGCTCACTTTTGACATAACATTCCTGAAGTAATGAACCTGACAAAGTTTTTCTTGTTGGCGGTTTATATCCAGGAATCCACCCTGCAAACTTTTTAAAAGCTGGTTCTTTAACTATGGAAAACGGATGAAACGAAAAGTTTAGTAAATCTTGAAAATCAATCAGTCCAAGAAAAAGAAACTGATAAAGATGACTTAAGTCCATGGTGTATTTTTGATGAATTAATTGGACATGACTCATCTAAACATACACCTGTATCGAGAGGTATAAAAGAAGTCGACATGAAATTGTCTGATGATATATTACCCACAAACAATTTTGAACGGAGATTGGAACTGTCCATTACCGTGGTGAAAAAACCATCGCCATGTATATCGTAACTTAACCACTATATTCATAAAATATTGTAGTATTGTAACAAAATCTTTTCCTTGTGAACACATGTTTAACATCTGGTATAATTTTAAATAAAAGAAGAACGCGATTAACAAGAAAAGTGGAAAAACTTATGTTTTTAAATGTCAATTTAGACGATTCGCGATTTAATAATGTGTAATGTAAATGTAACTATTTAAGTACCATTTGTATTATTTAATTTATTTTTCAAGTTACAATAAATATATCCTTCGTTAGGTTCTTTTATTTCAATACTTATACACATAAACGATAATAGCTAATATGTTTGTGTACTCGCTAATTTGAATACTGGTAAACAATCAACTAGTTACAGTTTACGAAAAACGGTTCCGATAAAAATTAAAAAAACGAGAAGACCCACCTCTAGTTTTTTAGGTATATTAGGATCGGAACCAGAGAATATCTGATCGGAACTAATCGTCCCACTAATGGGCAATGGCCAATGAGTGTTAAAAGGATTTTAGGAGGGGAGACGAAGGGGAAATATGATTGTTATCTTTGTCTAATTCGTTGAAAATATGATTTTATATCTGCGTTAGATATCCTGTTAAATTTTACCATACCGACCTTAAAATTTTACCTACACTGTATATATATATATATATATATATATATATATATATATATATATATATATATATATATATATATATATATATATATATATATATATATATATATATATATATATATATATATAAATTTTCAAATCAGCTAGCACTCCCAAGCCACTGCTAAAAATTTTCAAAATTTTAATTTAGGTTTTAAACTTTTAACCATTTGTATATCATTAAAAAACTTATCACACCTGTTAGATCTTTTAGTTTTAAAAATGAATGATTGGGAAGTCTATGTGTTGTGTATCTATTACATGTACATATATTCAAAGATTAACAGGTACAAATTGAAATTTTTCATTAATATTGAAATATTCCATTTGTTCTCTAGTATCCTGTTTGTTTCCCCTGGTTGCAGTTCAATTTTCATTTCGTTATGATTATCTCCAAAATTTCAATGAATCATCTATAGTTTAACCAATGTATATTTAGGCATGTGTCCATATTCACTGGTTTAATTTTGCCTTTTACATTTGTCTAAATCATCTTAATTACAACACTTCTATACATTTTTCCTACAAATTCATTTTCTTTCACTTTTTGTCTATTGTGCGATTTCTATAGACTTATCAGAATTATTACATTCATTGGATGGAATATAATTTAAAATTTAATTATAAAAATAAACCATTAAAAATGATTTAAACGCCTATAAAACATTTATAGACTATTCTTCAATGGTTTATAACAAATAAAATGTTTTACATACATTAATTAATTCTACATAAAATAAAAATATTCTTTAGGAAGTTAAAAAATAAATATTTTTATTTTACTTGAAATTTTGTACATACTAACCCTTGATTTGATCTTCTTCCTCGCTATCGACATTCTCAAAAATAATTTGATTATTACTTAATTGTTCTTCAATTTCAATGCATCTGTTAATCAATTCACTAAATTTTTTTAAAGTTTCAAAACAAATAAAACAAATTCTATCTTTATCTGATAAAGTTGATACCTAAAAATTTATAAAATTATTTAAGTGTCTCAAATTTAAATGATACACTACCATTTGAGGAACATATTGGAGTAAAACATCTTTGATAGTCTCATTATCCAAATGTTCAGTAATTTGAATACATTCATCATCGTCAGCTGCAACGGACAGGCAAGTTCTGCACGTAATCTTATACATGGTAAAATTTCAAGAAATTTGTTGTTCAGTACCACAAAACTCAACTCAAATCTTATAGAGCCCACTGTACTGACTTGTGAAAGGCATTCATAAATTCAAAAGTATATTGTTTCTGTACCACAGTCATACATAGAAATCAGAGTGATGGTTACGTTACAACAACTTCTACAACATAGATATCAAAATGGCGGATTAGCATAGCATGATTGACGTGACATTTCCGTTGATTAACCAATCATAAATCAGTATTGTATTCACGTGATTCGACTAGTAAATTTTAATCAAAAATTCCATACTATACACAACAATATTGTTACGGGTTACAAATGCGTTTTAAAAGCAATTTAACTACATTTTAGGAAGAGGCAACTTTTCATCAAACATTTACAGCCAATGCAATACAATAAATAATTTGATCAGCTATTCTTGCATCCACAGAATTGTTTTTCAAGCTGACAGAGTGACATTGACTTTGGTCATTCTGCATTCATCTAACTGTCATTTACTTCTACACGTGTGTTGGTCATTGCATTCATTCACCATAACATAGGTTAACATAGTTATAGCACATATAGAACATAGTTTAAAAATATGGGCAAAGTAAAGCAAAAATCAAACCCTCATCAGAAAAATGTACCTTTAGAACAAGATATTCAAAATACAAAATTTGCTAAAAGCAAAAATAGAAATAAAATACGCCTTAGAAAAGATGAAGAAGAACAAGTGAGTATATAAACATGGGTATTAAGGTTCATGAAAAGGTATATATTCAATACCTGGACATAAGATATCCTTTAGGTTCTTGCAGATACACTTAAATATGACCTGTTAAGGTGTTGTTTCTTGTTTAAGAAATTTATCTAATGATGTTTTGAAACTGTTTTCTTATGGCATGTTTAAGTTAACAATTGTTATATGGAATTAAACCATAATTGATTATAATGAGAATTACATTTGTTTTGTGGTTGCGATTTTAATTGTTTTCAAGTTTTTCTGGAAACTTCAAAGCAAATGTAAAATGTATTTCACATTACAATCAATTGTGGTTTAATCACATATAAAATTTAAGTTTATCTAACTTTATATAACCAATAACTAGAGATGCACATACCTAGAGAAAGGTGAACACATTGTTGCTAAGAGTCAACTAAAATGTTGAAATATTAGAGTCTACCTAATTTTATCCTATTTTGCAATATTCTTAACATTCTCAATCTTAAAGGAAAATCTTTTTTCTAAGTCTAAGACATGCCCACATTGTTTATCCTTAATTTATACAAAAATAAAGCTTACACAAAATAATTTGTTAATACATTACTGAAGAAAAACAAAATAATATAGTCAAAAACTTTACTCTTTATATATCATAATTTGTTTATTTTTAGTATGTGGATGCAAATTTATCCAGAAAAATCCTATCAGCTGCTCGTTCCCAACAAAGAGAACTAGAAGAAAACACACCCCAGCAGTCAAAAAATAAATTTGTAAGTTTAGATGCCATGGATTCAGATGAATCTGATGATGAAGTACGCGATGACAATGTTGATGATGCATATTATGAAAATATTGAAATTAATGAAGAAGATGAAAAAGCCATTGATATGTTTATGAGCAAAAATCCTTTGCCACGCAGAACTCTAGCTGACATTATTATGGAAAAAATTACTGAAAAACAAACTGAATTAGATACTCACTTTAGTGATGCTGGTTCAATGCAGGTTCAAGATCTGGATGTAAAAGTTAAACAAATGTATGAAGGTGTCAGGGATGTTCTCAGAAAATATAGAAGTGGAAAGCTACCAAAAGCATTTAAGATAATACCCAAATTGAAAAATTGGGAACAGATATTGTACATTACAGACCCACCAACGTGGTCAGCAGCTGCAATGTACCAAGCTACTAGAATTTTTGCATCAAACTTGAAAGAAAATATGGCTCAGAGGTTTTACAACCTAGTTCTCCTACCAAGGATAAGGGATGATTTAATGGAATATAAAAGATTGAACTTTCACTTATACCAAGCACTACGAAAGTCTTTATTCAAACCAGGAGCCTTTATGAAAGGTATTTTGTTGCCTTTATTGGAAAGTGGAAACTGCACATTAAGAGAAGCCATAATAATAGGGTCTGTGGTTGCTAAAAATTCTATACCTATACTTCATTCATCTGCAGCTCTTCTAAAAATTGCTGAAATGGATTATACTGGAGCCAACTCTATATTTTTAAGAATATTCTTTGATAAAAAATATGCTCTTCCTTATAGAGTAGTAGATGCTTGTGTTTTTCACTTTGTAAGGTTTCAAACAGACTCTAGAGAACTACCAGTGCTGTGGCATCAAGCTCTTTTAACTTTTGTTCAGCGGTACAAAGCTGATATATCATCAGAGCAAAAAGAAGCTTTATTAGAGTTATTAAAGAAGCAAAGTCACCATTCTCTTACTCCTGAAATTAGGAGAGAGTTGCAGCATGCCAAGTGTAGAGACTTAGAAGATGTTATGCCTACGATGGAGTTTGATTAAATTTTAAATGTTTAACAATTATTTTTTGAAGTTAATTTTATTTGTAAATTAATAAAATATTAAAGGCTTATGCATAATTATTTCGAAATAAAAGTAAAGAAAGATATGATTATATAAAAATAAAATTATGACATGATTTTAAAAGTCAGAAAATTTGCTGGGTGTCAAAAGTCTAAAAGATCACAGGAAAATACAGAAAAATATAATTTTGATGACATTCTTTCGTAAATAATCGTATTCTTTAAGACGAAATACAACATCCAACAAAGTAATTTTTCTAAACATTTTCTTTCTCCAAAAAATAATGTAAATATCATAGGAAACTCTAATAAGTGTATCATTATGCTGTAAATTTATACCTAGAATGTATTTCTTAGACCTAACATTGCAAATTATATCTGAATACAAAAATAGTAATACAATAAATCATGAGCGATGACTGCAGTATTTCTGAATGCCATTATGATCATTGTTATTTTTGGAAATAGGTACCTACAATCAATATTAACTCAAATAAATATGATAAAAGGAATATGACAGCCCTCACAAAGCAAGAAAAACAAAACACTTTGAGCAAGCAAAAATTCTAAAAGAACAAAAAAGGGAAATATACGAAGCAATAAACATAAAACAGTGCCTAAACTCTATAAACAACAAAAGTGATGTAAATTTATTAAATAAAATTTATTTTACATTTTGTAACTGTCCCTGGACTAAATGCCATAAAAAAATTAAAAACATTACTTTCTACCAGACCACTAATATATTTATACAAATTTTTGATATGCAGACATTTGAAATAACAACTAAATTTTTAAATTTGGTAAAAAATTTAATAAATTGTGTTTTATGTTACATGTAATTTATCAGAATTTACCCCATGTGAATTAATTTACGTTTTATGATAAATTATTATTAAAATTTTTTTGTAAATACTATACCAAAATTAATTGAAATATTTTAGATATTGTTTTGATAAAATCATGGGGTATCTGCTGAAATGTCAACGAAAATAAAGAACTTTTAACAACAATTAATGTATATACAGTGGAACCTCGATTATCCGTCTCTCTATTAACCGTCACCTCTGTTAACCGTCAGGGTCCATACATAAGTTATACCTATTGACTACATAAGTAAAAATTTAGTCATCAATTCATTTTGCTTGAGCATTATGATAAGCCATACGAAATTCGTTGAAATGTATAAATGCAGTTATGCCACCACCTCATTTTTATGTAAATAATTTTTGTTCTTAGTCAGGGCTCTGCATTAACTTTCAATTAAAATAGGTAATGATTGAATTACAGTCAATATCTGGGTGTCTTCATAATTCAGTTTGATTCAAATTCAAACATTGATCGTGTCACTTAGTAGTTTGATCAATTAAATTTTGAAAAATGGAGCCTTCAACATCTGGAGCATTGAACATCTTGTTGTTTTGTCAATTGAAAAAAAAATAGAAATTATTGCAGAACTAAAGAAATTTGTTTCTGCTGTCGCATTAAGCAAAAGGTATGATGTTTCGAGAACAACAATCAATGATTTAAAGAAAAATACTGAAAGAATTGAAAAGTATGCTAAGCAAATGGAATCGTTGGATGGTCGGGTAAAACATCGTAGGGTAAAACATAGTCGTAAGTAAATGAAAAAAGCCACAAATTAATCACTCGACACGGCTCTGTATTTGTGGTTCGTTTAAAAAAAGAAGCGAAGGTGTTCCTTTGTTTGAACCAATTGTTGCCGAAAAAGGGTTGTTTTTCAACATGAAATTGAATGGAGATCCTTCATTCAAAGGAAGCAGCGGTTGGTTGAAAAAGTTCAAAAATCGCCACGGTATACGGGAACTGAAAATCGAAGGTGGAAAATTGAGCGCCGCAAGTATTGAAGTCGTTGAATATAAAAGAAAGTTTCAAGCTATGATAGATAAATATGGTTTGATACGCGATCAAGTGTTCAATGCGGATGAAACTGGTTTAACCTAAAAAACATTGACAACAAAAACGCTACAGTGTCTGAAAAATATGCACCCGGATTTAAAACGCAAAAGCAACGAATTATAGCAATGATGTGTTTAAATGCAAGTTGTGACCTAACGCATGAACGCGCTTTCCGTTAAGTACTACGCACAACATAATACATAAATGTCCCAGGAAATATGTATTCGCTGACTGGTTAAAAAAGGTATATACTGCAAACCAAAATTTGTTTATCTATTTTTTGAAGGTCTTGCTTTTATGTTTGCTTGCTTATACCGGACGTTCGGCAATACTTGCCATCAAAAAATTTGCTACCAAAGGCGATTCTCACTTTGAACAATGCACTTGCCCATCCCGAAGCCGGTATGCTGCGCAGTGACGATGAAAATATCACGTGCTTTGACTGTCATTGAAACATTCAAAAGAAGATACAGAAAAAAAATTTTTCAAAACCTAGTTACGGAAGAGTAACCTATTTTTTGCCAAAATACTGGAAAGCATACAATTTGAAACACGCAGTCGACAATACTGTAGATACTTGGGCTGGTGTTTCGGAAGTAATGCTAAAAAGAGCTTGGAATAAATTATGGCCTGAATCAACTCAAGATGAAAATGCCCCCGTGACAGCCGAGCGTGATGCGGTAACAAATGAAGTTATGGCTCAATCAACTGTTTTGTTTTCGTTGTTTAAAGATGACATAAACGAATGATTACTTTGTGATGAGGACGCAAACAGCTATAGATTGGTGACAGCTGATAAAATCGTTGAAATGGTAACAGACGTGGACGAAACTGATTCAGAAGCTGACATAGACTTTGACGTTGGCGATGTTGATGATGCTATTGCAATTCACAAAGATTTGCGTAAAAAAACTAGAGAAGCTGCATCGCACATACAACAATTAATCGAGTGGTATTCTCGGCAAGAAGAAGCAAATAAGGTGGATTTGATGATTTTGCGTCGATTAAGAAATTCAGCCGTTGCAAAATGTAAAGTAACAATAAAACAAACTAAGATTTCGGAATATTTTAAATCAAATTAATTGGACTGTACTAACATAAATTCCTCTTATATTGTCAAATAAAACATACAAATAAAATTTGAGAGTTATACTATGGATATATTTTTTTAATGTTCTGTTAACCGTCTTTTGGATTATCCGTCATACCCTTGGTCCGGTGCCCCGACGGATAATCGAGGTTGCACTGTATACAGGTATGGAAAAAATATCTGACTATACTTATAGAAAAATTAAGATAATGCAACAAACTGAGAAAAAATATTATATAGACTTGTATGTCTGAGAGAATAACATGTAACCACATGTCTCGTAAGCACTATGGGCAGTCTTGTCTGTACATTGTTAATGAAAGAAAGTTTATTTTTTAGATGGTCTGGGGAAACATTTCAACAATGTGATTACAAAATTTAAAAGTAGGTTCATCTTAAATTAAATCAACAGTTTCTTTAATCTCAATTCATAAAAAATTACAATAAATTCTTAAGAGCATAAATTAAAACAATTTACTCTAAAAAATACAAATTTTCTAATTTTAACTAAAATTATTTTAAATTAAATTTTCAAAAACTCATTTATCATGCGTGAAAAGAAAATTTTCTACCATTGCACCTCTCTAGTGCCTAACTAGAAGTTCTAGAACCAAATGAACATACCTACGAGCTGTTAAAGTTGGTTGGATGCAAATTAAAGGAATTTTTTTACAGATCATAATGCCTCCTCTGAAAATGACACTTCCTCCTTTATATCTGTGAACAGATCTGGTGTTTCCCGTTCTTGCTTGTCTTCCTCGCCGTCTAAGTACATGAATTTGTCTGACATTTGATTTTACACAAATCCTGGTTTCTTCTAAAAATACCACAATTTTTGTCAATTTCCAATGTTAGAGTTTTGGTGTTAAAGACACCATTTAGGCGATCAATCTTATGTCGCCTGGATAACTTGTGAACCTGTAACTGTCTACTGCTGTATAGTGTTTAAACACGAAAGTCTTTTTCTTATCGTTTCAACTGAAACACTTAGACCTGTAGTTCCAAAAGTTGCCTTTGGACCTGCTGGTGAGAAATTGTTGGTTGTTGGTTAGAAATTGAGTCTCTTCTACCCACTTAGACAATTAAATGATAGTGGAGAACCGTTGTTACCTTTTGGGGACTTTGTCTTAATCTATTAAGCGTTCCTAATTCCTGATATCTAGCATAGGTTTTTGACACAATGTCCTGAACCACTGCAGCTGTCTCCCTCTGAGATATTTCTTGCTCCACAAGACCAATAATCTTTCCTCTTTGTACATCCGTTAACCATACATATATTTTCCCCGGCATATTTTCGTTTTTGAATGCAAAAGTTAATTTACTTATTTTCATTGAATTTACAACTATAGCAAATCATCTATAACGTACCGAGCTGTATTCTTTAAACGTTTTATCGGTTTGTAATTATTCTTGTAACATTAATTCTTCTCAACAATAACCAGTTTATTTCAGAAATAAATATTGGTTTGAAATACGTGATGATTTCATATAAATTTGGTTATCAAATTGTGATGTGATGTTCTTGGTTTTTCCTATTTCAGCACCATATGTTTTAATAATGTAGGCGGCTACCGGTGTTTTGCTGCCTACCATATATTTATTTTTAAAATATTAAGTTTTAATACTTTAAAAACAGTAACAGTGGTCGTGGAATTTATTTGAAGTGATTTTTAGATAAGCTTATCTGCATTTCGTTTTAATTACAATTAAGCCAAAACATCACAAACCCTGGAATAACAACGCCTAATATCCGCATATTAGGCGAGAATATGCGTTCACTACTGTACATCAACAAATTTGCTACCAACGTCTCTGTGATTGAATATATCCCCAAGTACAGAGAAACCGATCTAAAACTTCGGCGTACATCAAAATAACTAAAAAAGCTTATTATCAAAATCATCTGGGAAGGTCTAAAAGTGTTGCAAAAAAAAAACTTGGTCCATAATAAATGATCTTCGAAATAAAATTAACACAGCTCAAACATTTTCCCTTTCAAACCCTGAAAATCTAAATAAATACTTCGTGAGTAAAAATATGACATTAACTATTTTGCCAGAACAAGATCACATTTCCTATCTCTTCAATTCAAAAAAGGTCTCAAATTAATTCTTTATAATACCAGTTAATACATCTTAACTGATCCAAGCAATCAAAAGCAAATCTTTCTGTAGTATTGATGGGCTTTCCATAAAAATTTTCTTAACTCTGCCAAAATGTTTTGAAAGTCCTGGTCTCACTAATCAGTGAAGCTTTTGAAAACGGTACATTCCAGAGTGCCTAAAGACAGCCATTATTGTTCCTATTTATAAGGGTAGTGAAAAATCTAATGCCTGCAACTATAGACCTATTGCCTTGCTCCCGGTACTATCCAAAATTATTGAGAGACTTATAAAAGCCAGACGTATGTCCTTTCTTGTTAAAAACAACTTATATCACAAAATCC